ACTGAGCTCGGTCATCCTCGGCCAGAAAGGGTCGGACGTACGCCACATCAGTCTCTACCAGAATACCCTCATCGCACTCGGTGTCGACTGGCTTGTCTTGATCGACGTCGACCATCCCTCCAACCCGCACGAGCCCCCCTGGCCATTCTCTCGCAGACAGAGCTTCCGGGCACAGAGAGCGCGGGTGATCGAGTCTGAGGGCGTGTGGAATCTATGGGTGGTCGGCGTCAACGAGAACGGTCATTTGCTTGTTCGCCGCCAAGAATGCTTAGAGCGATCAGCCTCCTGGAAGTTGCCGACATGGCAGCACGGAGGGTCGTCCTGTGAATTGGAGCGGCCCCACGAAGTTGCCGCGGTCCGTGACCTCACGGCCGATGGCCAGGTGGTGGTGTTGGCCCCCAGCGGCGTCATCTGGGCTCTCAGCCTGCGTACCGGCCATATCGTCCAGTGGGAAGGTCTGCGCGCCGACATCTCATACCACTTACTCTCGAGCTCCATTTCGGACATCGTCGCCTTTTCGTGCAGCGGCGACGCGCAGGCCCAGGGCACATACATCCACACCGCACCGTCTTGGGAGGAGGGTCGGCCGGGGGGCTCCGGCTTCTGTGAGAGTGATCCATCGGAGGGGCTGCTGGGGTTTCGTCTGCGTGGCAGCCGACGAACACCATTCACTCAGTCGTGGCTAGCGCTGCTCCCCGCGGAAGTGTTCCACATCATCATCTCGAAGGTGCGTCCTCCTCACTCCTAGTGCTGGACCCACTCCGGCTCGTTCATGCTCGCGTTAGGTACCTCTGCGATTTCTACCATCACTAGCGGTAACTAGTCGCGATTTCTTCGACGCGGCTCAGCCATTACTACAGTCATACCTCATCGTCAACGATTTAGTACAGGCCTATATTATAAAGAGGAATCGGATCATCCACAAACGTCATATGCCCATCCCAAATAAGAAGAGAAAGGAGATCGTCCACGTCGTTATCTCTGATAATGAGTATCGTCGCGCGCTTCAAGCGCTTGACTGTGATTGTGAGCGTATCCGCCGACTTGAGTAAGATTCAACGGAGATGTCTCGCTCGGCCGCTAACCTACTCCCTAACAGTTTGTTCTCAGACAATACCTTTACTCTAGAAAAAATTGAGCAGCTAAACGAGATCCGGAAGTTAGAGTCACTCCGGACTACCGGCGCGGTTGCGGGTTACTTTCAAGGCATACCCCGCAGCCACTTAACCATTCTATACGAGAGTTCTGAGGATTTGCGAGGGCTTGATCTGAGATATCCTCCAACTCTGAAATCTCTCAGCTTGGTCATATCTACGGGGCAAACTTTCCCCACCATTGACCTCAAGCTATTGTCACACCTCCGATCACTCACCATGTGTGCGGGTTCATGGCCTTATAGCGGTTTTACACTCACTGACTGCGAGGTGCGCGTAGGCTCAAGCCCCTGCCGCCTCGAGTATCTAGACCTCCGGGGCTGTTTGGGAAAGCTGGATGGCTGGCTTCCTTCCCTCGCGGAGAATCTGCGTCATCTAGTCCTCCGAGGTCTGTCGAGAGGTCTTTCCCATATCCCACGGTTAGCCTTCCCTCGCGTTCAGATTTTCGAGTACTCTGTGTATACGAATGGGCCTCATTGTAGCGATAATACCGGTGACTATCCCGAGACTTGGTTTAGACCGCAAGACCTGCTTGCGCACTTCGACCTTCCCGCGGTGACCCACTTATCCTTGGAAATTGAGGTCTGCCCAGAACATATCCACGACGAGGTGGACCCCGCGGAGCACCTCGTTGCGGTCAACCTCACGGAGCACCTCGGTGCGGTCCTCCGCCAATCCCGGTTGACTGTATTGGCCTTGCGTCTGTCCAGGATTCCCTACGGTGTCGGATGGGACCAGAACTTGATCGATCTGACTCAAGTCTACCGGCTACTAGACCGATATCGGTACCAAACCGGATCGTCTACCCGGTGCTTGGTCCACGGGCCGGTGGTTCCTCTCTACCGACCCAACACCGGCGATTTCCACGTGGAAGTTGACCGGACAGCTTCAAAGACGATTCGTGCACGAGTCTTATCAACCATCGACCCGTGTGGGATCTTCCGTGAGACCAGGGTTCTCCATCGGACCGTCGATGATATGGAGGTGATTTCACAAAGACAAGACAGGATGTACGGCTGGGTGTGACGTCGGAGCGACGGCTTTGGTCTTAAAAGCTGGACCTTGGTCCGGGCGGAACTCGGAATCCCCCTGAGAGCTCTTCCTCACGAATCAACCGTTGAATATGATTTCCACGCCCTCTCTGGCACTTCCATGGCTTCTTCCGTGCATCTTGGTCCTACGTAGGCAGATAACAGGACGATCCAGCGGGGACCTGAGAATTTAAAGACGACACGCTGCCTCTGGGAGACAGAGGCAAAGAGGATAGAATCCTTTGAGGAATCTGATATTTAGGAAGGAGATTCATTGCCATTTTCATACTTTTGACACTGAAGCAAAGCTCTGGTGGACGAACCTCGAAGATACGGGCGTATGCCCCGAAGTTGCCGGTCGAATATACGTACTTCGCATGTCCCAGCATGGCAGCCCTGCCTATGATCAAATATGCGTAACCTGTGGCCACCCCTTCCCCTGTTTCCAATCCAGCAATTCACTCCTGCCACTCCCCCCTGAAGATACATGATTGAAAGCTTTAGCGATGCTGGGTGGACTTGATCGGTCGCTCAAAACAAAAAGTCACTCTAATCTCACAGCCTGCTGCGCTGATCGAGTACCATGATCTCACAAGAACCCCACAGCCATCGCGGGATGCCGTAATTGCAATTTAAGAACACTGGGAGCCTCAAGAACAGGTGCACATCTCCTATGATTGCCTTGCCCTTGGCAGTCGAGTTTTTTTGGGCGACTTGTGAAGGCAGGGGGAGCTACAGGCCGTTCTTCGATGCAACCATGACTAGCCACCTATGTAAATGCCGCTCTTGGTAACTCTTCTACAAATTTTCCGTTTCAGATGGTCCTCCCGACCTCCTCGGAAACTGTGACGGCCGTCGAGATCCATCGACCGCCACCCAATACATCTCCCACCAACGTCGACCACGGCTCTGTGGAGTTCCTTCAATTGTACTAGAGAAAAGCAGCCGGTAGACCCCTGTCACTAGTCAGTGTCACTCCAAAGCGGACCGTTGCAAAAATGAGCCCAACGCGTGCCCTTTCCACCATGGGAAGAACGATCGCGGTGCCGTGGGGTCGCAGCGGTTGGTCCCCCATTTCATGTAATAACTCTTACGGCTTGCCTTCACGAGGGCGTCGTACCGGGGCCCGAAATCCGACGACAGAGTGCCATCGGCCTGTCGGCCTTGCCATGTGTTTCGTCCCGCTTTGTCGTTCCGCTTGGTGTCCGCCATGATCCGCAGTGCGGTGTCTACCACCTGACCGCCGGACGAGTTCTTGGGGCGAAACAGCAGACTCAGGTCCGAGAGACAAGAGGCCACGTCGTGGATGACGCCGGCGTCGAAGTCGAGTATCTGGAAACCTTTGGCCCGTACCCGGGCGTAGTAGTCGCAATCGCTCGGATACCACGGTATCAACACGTCCCAGGGCCCCACCTCCGCCGTGGCCGCGACGCGGACATGGCTCAGCCAATCATAACGGTACAGCACCAACGCCCACCTCTCGCTGTCGGCGTTTCTCCGTCGGTCCTCGTCTTCCTCCAGGACGTGATCGTAGAACGATCGCACGTCGTCGCGGCTCCGGACCACGACGTCCTGATGACTCTGATAGTAGCTGGGCCAGCCGTTTGTCTTGGCGAGCTCGAACACCAGGTTCTGGACCTGGGCGAACGTGTTCCGCACCGGACTTCGGTAGACGTGCACGCCCAGCGTCTGGCAGAGGAGCGTGTAGTTCATGAACGCGTGATCTTCGGGTGGGATTGTCCCCCGCGCATTTTCGTCGGACCTCCCGGTGTTCTCCACCACGATGATTTGGGATGGCGGCCACCCCTCGGAGATGAAGGAGACCACGGTCTGCACAAGAAGGCAGGCGTTGGAAGCGAACGGAATAAAGAGCGGCGTCGCTGGTCGACAGGCGGCGCGGTCGGGATCTTCGACGCCGGTCGGCGTGTCGAACGCCCGACCAGGGTAGAAGAAAGGCCCCGGCAGGTGGAGAGGAGCGAGGCAAGCGGGCACTGTGGCTTGGTGGTTCACAGTGGCCAGGGCCAACGTGCCGGTCGCATTGTTGACGGGCGGTACCGTGGGCACGACCTGACGCCCTCGATCCAGCATCCAGAGGATGACGACGAGCAAAAGAACTCCAGCCCAGGCAGCGCAAGTCTTCATGGTTATCGACCTTCGCGGCATTAATGATGGAGACGGCTCGGAGGCCACGAGCGGCAGGATGAGGACGGGAGCCTCCACTCTCATATAAAATGGAGGACATTCACATCTTGCATACCGCATCCTGATTGGTGAAGGAATGCTCATGACCTCCCTTCAGAAGTCGTGAGAGATCCAATCAAAAAACGTTTCTTTGCGCACTCTGGGCGATCTCAGGGAGAGCCCGCCCTTGCGATTTACCACTCATCAACTGGAAGGCCAAGCGCTCGAGGAGAGTCGACATTTATTAGATTATTTTCGGAAAGCTCACTTTACAGTAGACCGCTTTTGAGTATGTACCATTCACACCTCTTCGTCTAATATCTTGGACGACGACGTTCGCATCCTAATGACGTACTGTGCAGTACCAGGGACGCGAACATCGTAGTGACAAACGTCCCCAACCCTAGTCGCGTGCTCTTGAATGCAGGCGCGCCACAAGCCCGCGCTCACGCCCCGCAACGAAATCTGGACGGATATCCTCAGGGGTCTTTCCCAACGAGCTCATCATACAGTACGCAAGCACTCCAGGCCGACCATCCGAAGCAGCTAAGACCACGAAGGGGGCGACACTGTATGCAGGAGCGAATGGGTGAAGCACTCCACGTCGCCATCTTTGGAACGAGATGGCTTCATCCGGCTCAAACAGGACCGGGCAAATCCACTGGCCGCTTTGCATATTGTCACCATTCAACCCTCGATGGCGCGTGAAAAGTTAGACTTCTACCCCATCTTCGCCAGTTGGCGGCCCCAAGCCCACATCATCAGGCGGCCGTCAATGGAGTGACCCCACTCCTGGAGCTGGACCAAACTCTCATATAATTTGTCTGCTGGAACGTAGAAAGTCGTGATATTCTCTCCACTATTCTGATTGGTGATTCCGCTGACGATACCGCTCTCAAATGTCACGTTGTCATCTTTGGGTTTGACATCAACAAACAAGACCTGAAATGTCTCGCTTAGGCAGCCATCCGAGGAGAATGATAGGCAACTTGTGGCGCGTACATCGTCCTCTGTAGCTGTGAAGGGCGTCTCCTCGTTCAGCTCGCGGAGGCCTGCCGTGATAGGGTTCTCGTCCTGCTCGTCGTAGACTCCCGCCGGAGAGGCAATAGAATACTTGCGTGTGGCTTCGCGCCACTGTCGTGTCAGGACGAAGTACTTTTTGCCTTCAATTTCGATACGCGCAAAGGTGATGACTACGTCGACTGGGACACTGCCGTGGATTTTTCGTTCGAGGAAAACTTTGGTCCGTTCTACCTCCTTGTCGTTACGAGATGTGACAGCGACCAGGCGATATTTCTTGTCCGAGTAGAATTCTCGTACCCCGACGTTCTTAGCGTCCCAGGAGAACGAGCTCATGTCAAGAGTATGAGCCATTCTGGATTGGTGGAAGGAGCTTAAGTTGAGGAGAGCTATTGCGTGGACAGGAAGGTAGGTGTTTATTTGTGTCTGTTTTGAAAAGTGTTCTGTAACGCGGGACGATTTGTACTGTAGTGAGTGGGAAGGGGAACACCAACATTTATAACGTCACAGTACTTGTCAATATTTGAGCCACCGCCACTTCCAAATGAGCCTGGGGGGTGCCTTGCATGGATCTGTTAGGCAGAGCTACGTTAGCCTGGTCCAGGCTCTACAAATAAAGGCGCCGTGTTTGTGTTGCAGCCTACTGTCACACGCTGTGTTCAGGTCAAGCCGCTGACAGGCTGCCTATCTTGTCGTATCGTGCCCTTCTTCTCTTGTTCCCAGCTCAGCCTATTTTTCTCCCTCGCTCTCTTGACCTACGTACAACATGACGACCCTGCCGCAGCTAGATCATGCCCGTGAAAACAATCTCCCGTCCTCAGGCTACACGGCTTCTTGATTTAGTGGCATACGCACAATCAGCAAGTCTCCAGGTCTCCGTCTCCCAACAATTCGTCGTCTTGAGTGGAAAGCTGTTCTTCTGACCCTAAAATCAGCTCGTGAAAGTCTGACTCTGAAGCATCGGGCGTCGGGACAAACACGAAGTATTCACTTGTAGTCTCCGACGCACTCTGAGGAGCTCTACATCGTACAGGAAGAGGACCTCGTAGGGCGGAAGTGGCAGCCCCAACAACGCCGAACCTTCGTCGTAGAGTGCTCCGGAGACTCTCTTGCCACTCATCAGCGAGCCCGCGTAAAAGATGTACCACATAAGCGGCAGGAGTTGCGGAAGCATATCGGGCCCATCCTTCGCCATTCACATGGTCGGCGTAGTTTGAAATCCCTTGTATGAGTAGCCATGAAGTATTCACGCTCTGAATCGCCTGGGTTCCAAAACAAATCACATCTAGATCTCTTCCTAGTTTATCCCGTTGCTTCGCACCAACTTTGCCGGCTCGAGCATATGCTATGGAGCCGAAGTGGACGACGGGATGTTCAGGGTGTTGACGAACCGTCCGCTCCACTTCTGCACCTTCTCGAATCAAGTGGTCGTGTTGGAAACCGGGGAACGAGTACACCTCTTTCATCCGAGGATATGTCAGAGCCATGCGCTGAAGGAGACTGGATATCTCATTGACAGTGGTCGACGATCGCAGGAGGGTGACTAGCTGAATATCGGACTGTCTGGGGAATTCAAAGTCGAAATTTAGAGGAATAACAGTGGAAGCAATGACCACATCTCCAAGACGAACGTCGCAGGTGTCACATGGCGCCCCGGCGCCTTCACCTAAGGCGATGATGAGTTCAATAGATTTGAAGGCATTCGTTAACTTTCGAGCACAATAGGATGTGTTGGTTGTATCTGGGTTGTCTGATGTAGTATCCACTGCTAACCAGTTTTGGCCAACTCGATAGACCCAGTATCCGAGAACATGAGTGCGTGTTCCATCGAGAAGAGCAGAAATACAAGCGAGGTAGTTGGAATTCGCACAAATACACCCGAACTTGGGGATCCGCGACATCACTCAGTCGTGTCGGTTCAGTTTCTTAACTGAAAGCAGACGAAGTTTAAATGCAAGGTTGAAATCTAGAACAGGCTCGGATCTGTTGGGCTGAATCCGCTTAAGCCGGGCGTCTTGGCAGGCTCAACCTCATCACTTATAAGCTCGATTGTCCTTTTTTGATGCCTCACAATACTCAGCACCCGATCGAAGACCCGAGCTTCAAAAACATTCGCTTTGGTAAGATTGGCAGCCATAACATCATCGCTGTCTCTTGGCCAGAAGAAGAGGCAGGTATTACGAGGAGCAAGCTTATCGCATCCGAAATCCTGCAGAATTTCCGTAGCGTTCGACTTGTACTACTGGTCACCACTGGTAGCGGCCTACCCAAACCCGGAAAGCCCAGCCAAGTTCGATTAGGAGATGTCGTGGTGAGCTCGTCTAAGCACACGTTCGGAGGCATAGTGCAATTTAGCATCGGTCTCGAGACTGGTCAGCCAGAGGCAATAGGTTCGTCCTACAAACCAGCTACTCGTCTTTTGACCGCTCTCGCAGCGCTCAAGTCTCACCATATGCTTCACGATAATCGCATGGCCCAATATGTCGCCAAAATACAAGCATCGGACGACGCCCATTACACATTTCCAGGTCGCGACGCGGACGAAATGGAGGAGTTTGACAACCATTGTGAAACAGCTTCGGTGATTCATTATGACACGATTGCTTCAGGAGACCAGCTGGTCAATGATATTCGGGTTAGAGATCAGATAAGGGATAAATTTCGGGCAAAATGTATAGAGACGGAATCAGCTGGAGCAGCCGCCGAAAGCAATTGTCTGGTGATTTGCGGAATATGCGATTACGCTGACGGCAGCGCCAGCGCTACCAAAGCCCAGTGGGAAGTACCGTCGCCCCTGGCTGGGACAAGGCGGGAGGTTCTCGGCATAGGCCTGAATGTTTCGAGCAGGGTAAGGGACGGAGGTGGCGCTGGTGACGGGAAGCTCTGTCAACATCAGCACGAAGGGATCGCAGGGTTGAGCCAGCAATGGAGAAGTTCTCGAACATTCGACGACGATCAAGCAATCTCGGGACTTGTGTTGGTGGATTCCTTCTTGCTGTCCCCAAAATTATGTCTTTTACTGACATGCGAGATAGCTGCTTTGAAGCTATATCCTTGACTACCTCTCAGCGCCTAATCGATGTATCCCGAAGTCTACGCTCTCCAGACTAACATATCTCTGCACCCTTGTCCTGACCTCCTTCCCTAGTCGACGCATCTCGTCTCCCAGAAAAGAGTATAATAGCAGCACCGGAAAAGGTGGATTGATTGCATACTTAAACAGAGAGGGTGGAAGACGGTGACCCAGCAGGATGGGAACCCATGGAATGAGGGGGTGTATCTCGTCGTGACATAAAACCCTCAATAAACCCTGCTGGCTATTGTTCGCTATTTGGCTTTTAGTCAAGTGAACACTACCTACAAGGTAGACCGATAGGCACTCTGTCGTACGTGGCGCGATATTGTATGCGATAACAGGAGACAACGAGATTGCGTATGGGTTATATCTCCTTCCTGAATCTCTTTCTTATAAATAGGAGGTCTAAGAGGCAGTACACATCGAAAGAACGTTCAAGATTATACCTCTACGGCAATCCAAGGTTAGAGTTAGTGTCTACCTCCTTAAAAGGATTCATGGAAGCCCTCACAGAATTTCCATTACAAGCAGGAAGGGAGACCGACAAGAACCTTCGCCCCTTGAACATGGCTCAGCATAGTATAAAGACCTTGACTGTCATGCTCGGAGATTGGATAGAAACTCTGCTGCAAATCCTGCTGCCGCTGCTGCCGCATATCCTTGCACTTCACACTCACCAGCAGGGGCACGACCTGCCTTGCTTCATAGTGAGACTTCGTCTCTTTCTTTTCCAGTAGATTGGAAGGGCACCGCCGATCTCCGCCACGGCGTGATTCGACGAGAGACCTGACAGATGATTGGTTAATTATAGACGTCGCCTGCACCCACTCGATTAGACCCCGTTCCGCGCCCTGCGTCTGGTTGGCCCGTGTGGGAGGGCCATACAGTGCCGTGCCTGGAGAAGCCGCCCACAGATTGGACGAGTGACGGTCAATCGTCGTCGCGCCGAGCGGATCCTTATAATACAAGAGTGTCGGGAGCCCGGTGTTTGGGCCAGTCCCTCGGCCTCATTTTTGCCTCCAAATGCTCATCCCGTCGACCTCACGATTCACAGCACCCGCGTCTTCCACGGTACATGCCAAAGTATCGTGGCCTCGGAAAATCTGGATCGCGAAATCTGGATCCCACTGCTGTTGGGCTTCTTGCTCTTCCTGGGACTCCTTGGCTGTTCGCTCGGGCGACCGTCCGATATCGGCGAAGTTCCCCAGGTCTCGCCGCCCGGGAGGACCATCTCGGATGAGGAGTCTGACCGCGCGGAATGTCTGAACGAAGAATCGGCCACGACGAACAAAGGGTCGCACCAGGTATCTCTGCTCAATTATGAACGTGGCCGGGGAACCGACCGTTGACGTCTAGCAGCCCCGAAGGTGGATGGAAGCAGCCTTGTGGTGAAGGCCCCGCGGTCTGGACGGATTCTGACCCTCGACGTGGAGTAGGAATAATCCTAGGCCGTGATGGTTCAAGCCCATGAGGCCGGCTTGGGGGGGG